CAAACCAACACCAGGGGCACTCCCAGCCTCCTGAGCACGCCGGGAAGTCACGCCAAGGTCACAGCACGTTGTTCCCTGCAGATCTCAAGATTCTGAAATAGCTGCTCAGCCCTGCAGCCCAGCAGTGCCCTTTGCAGGCTCAGCCCCGAGCAGCCCCAGCCCAAAAGCCACAGCACTGACAGCTCCTCCCTGGCAACACCCAGACAGGGGCTGTAGCATCACTCAGTGTGAGCACAACCCAACAGAGCCTGGAGGAGGATGGAGCAGCAGCCTGAGACACGTGAGTTCCCTTGAGAAAAGCCCTCCCAGGCCTGGCCCAGGGGAGCCTGAGGAACAGCTGCCAGGAGAAGGGAGCCACCCAAAATTTCAGAAGGACAAGGTTTTCCCAAGGAATTAGCAGGGTCTCTTGGTTTGACACAGGGCTGGGCAGAAAATGGGGGTACAGACGCCCTCCTGGGACCTCCAGCAACACTTACATCATTGTACCTGAGTAGACATGGAATTGCACTGGGCAAATGAAGAGAAGTGGATGGGAGGAGGGTGGGTGGCAAGACAGAGACCTGCTCGCAGCTTTGCAGCTCCCCAGTCACAGCCCTGAGCCAGGGCCACCACAGCCTGAAGGTCACAAGCAGCAAACAGCCCCTCTGCAGTTGCCCAGTAGCCCCTGGATGTGGCCCCGTTGCCAATGACAGAGCTGCCAGCAGCTGGGAACCATCCTGCACCACCACCCAGAAGCAACCATCAGCCCTGCCACCACCAGCACCATGAGGGAGGTGGACAAAGAAGAACCCCCTGGGTTCACAGCAAGACTGAAGGACACGCTTGGGGCAGCAGAGAAGTTCAAACCATGTCCCTTGGCAGGTCGCTCGCCGAGGTCCAGCCCCACCTGTGAGCAGCTCAACTCACCCCTCACAGCTCAGCACCTTGTCCCACCTGCTCCTCAGAGAGGGCTTTGCAGACACCAAAGCTGGAAAGTCCCTGTGCTAAGAAGTCCAGCTGACCCCACCAGCCCCTGGTGCTCAGCCCATGCTGGCTCCTCTGGCTCCCTGGGAATCACAGAATTGCTCTGGTTGGAAAAGACCTTTAAGATCATTGAGTCCAACCACAATCTGACTCTACCAACCATTAACCTAACTCTACCAAGTCCAAATGAAGATGCCCTGCTCACATTTGGGGACCAGAAACCCACCACCCACAGCTCTAACTGCCAGATCCTGCAGATTCCCTAACGTTGCCACCTCTCAGGTGCTCGTATCCTTCACTTCTGTCACTGACAACAAAACCTTCTCAGGAATACAAGACTGGGGAAGAAAACACCAGTGCACCAGTGAGGTCCAGAAGGAACAGGCTCTCTGGCCAGCCAGCAACACAATGTCCTTCAGGAGACAGAGGACCATCACAAATGCACCCTGTGGGCTGAAGGAAGAGCTGCCCACTTTCTGGGGCACGTGGGCAATGCTCAGCCTGTTCCACAACTGCTGCCTCCATGGACAGCCCAGGGCAAGACAAAAGCCAACCAGCATCAACCAAACAACTGCTCTTCTCAGCCTCCTCGTTGCCCACCCCTCAGGAACTCCCCCTGGCAGCCTTGCTGGGCCCCCACCACCTCTCAAGGTCACAAAGCCACCACCTGTCCCTCCATCTCCTTCCCACACAGGTCCCAGCCCTCCCTCTCCAGAGCCACCTGGGCAGCTTGTGCCTTTCCAGCCACGGCCACCTGAAGAGAAAAGGACTTCTGACTGACCCCACCTCCTGCCCAGCAGCCCAGAGCTCACTCACTCTCATCAGGGTTGGGGGAAGCAAGAATGGCACTGTGCTTCCTCTTCACTTCCTCCACGTTCTCAGAAATTTTATCGATGAACCCTCGAATTTCTTCCACCTGTGGAGATGAAGAAGAAGACAAATCTCCTGTGAGAGGCCAGGACTTTTGGAACAGGCAAAGGGGGGGGTTATTAAATCCTAACCCAAAGCAACCATGACACATCTGAACCACAACAAACATCTTCCTGGATGAATATTTTCCAGCTAGGTGCTCAAAGTTTAGGACTGTCAGGAAATCAGACCTTCCACATGACAGCAGCCAGACCTGCAGGCAGGTCTGGGGTTTATTTATTATTATATTATTGTATATTATTAATATATTCTATTATTACAGGATCCCAGACTGGTTTGGGTTGGAAGGGACCTTTAATATCATCCAGTCCAACCCCCTGCATG